TATATATATATATATGTGTGTGTGTGTGTGTGTGTGTGTGTGTGTGTGTGTGTGTGTGTGTGTGTGTGAAAAAAATATATAGAAAATAGGAAGGAACTGGTTAGGTAAATAATCCAAAGTCCCTTAGTATTTTAGTTATTATTTTTAAAAACAGTGCTCGATACAAAAGTAGAGCATAAATATAATTATTTATTTAATTTATTTATTTAAAAAAATAAATAAATAAATAATATATATATATATATATATATATATATATATATATATATATATATATATATTCATGAAGCTTTAATAAAAGTGAAAAATGTTAGATTAATAAGCATTTCTTATTTGTTCTTTTATTTTATCATTCACACACGCACATATATATATAGATAAAAGTATAGTATTATGATAAAAGTATGTTGTTAAGGTATGCTCTATTTATGACTTAATTATGAGTGCTCAAAATCAGGGATAAGGCGTATGTAAATATGTGTTTTTTAGGTCTACACCCAGCAGTGACAGTCTGTTAAACATAGTAGCAGTAGCAGCCATAAAATAAAATTCATATCAGCAGCAGCTCTCGAATATAAAGATACATGAACCCTAAAGCAACTCTCTCTCTCTCTCTCTCTCTCTCTCTCTCTCTCTCTCTCTCTCTCTCTCTCTCAAGTTTTCTTCTTTTGAACTGGTGTCATGAACTTTCCACGCTGGAGCTAAAAGGGCTGTGAACGCTACACATTAAAAACGCCAACCAAGTAAGTCTCACCCAAACATATTGATAAATATTTCGTTGTGTATACAATTTACGTCTAATAAAAGAAACTCTTGTTTTAAACTTTCCTTTTGTTAATTTAATAAATGCTATATTGTATTACAAATCAATTGATCAGTTATTTTATGCATATACTCTTTTCACCAACATTATTTAGTGTACTATCAAATATTCCCAGAAGAAACCTTACACATTTAATTATTGAAATAGCTAATCACTAAAGCTGATATAAGTGTCTTAAATATTATTCTGTAATATATTAAATATCAAAATTGAGTATTTTGTACATGAATATAGTGTTAATTTATTTAAAAATATTATTATGGGACCAATGGTCCTAAGATGGGTATTTCATAGACCAATGTCCTTAGACGAGTATTCCTTATACAAATGTCTTTAGACAGGTTTCCCTTAGAGCAATATCCTTTAGACGAATGTTCATAAGACTAATGTCCTTAGATCAATATTAACAAATGTTCTTAAATCCAATGTGATCACTTACAAAGACAACAGGAAAAATATAAATCAATTCTGAATTGACATACACAGGATTTTATCATATTTCTTTACAATTCGTATTTTCTCGAGTTTATGACCGAAGATTAGCAGAACTAAATCCTACCTTCGTTCGACGAGAATTCTAATGAATCAAAATTACAAAGAATTTAAGAATCCAAGAAAATAGAGGTGCCAAGTTTGAAATGTGAAACCAGTTTTAATTCCACATATTTTACTGGAAATAACCAAGATCTGTATTTTCTAGGCAGATAGATAGATAGATAGATAGGAACAGAATTAGATAGTTATGAACAGAATGATAGATAGATAGATAGATAGATAGATAGATAGATAGATAGATAGATAGATAGGAACACAATTAGATTAATATGAACAGAATGAGATAGATAGATAGATAGATAGATAGATAGATAGATAGATAGATAGATAGATAGATAGGAACACAATTAGATTAATAGAACAGAATGAGATAGATAGATAGATAGATAGATAGATAGATAGATAGATAATGAATAGGAACAGAATTAGTTATGAACAGAAATAGATAATGATAGATAGATAGATAGATAGATAGATAGATAGATATATGACAGAATTATAGATAGATAGATGATATGAACAGAAATAGATAAATAGATAGTTATAAACAGAATTAGATAGATAGATAGATAAATAGATAGATAGATAGATAGATAGATAGATAGATAGATAGATAGATAGATAGATATGAACAGAATTATAGATAGATAGATATGAACAGAATTATAGATAGGTAGATAGATAGATAGATATGGACAGAAATAAATAAATAGATAGTTATAAACAGAATTAGATAGATAGATAGATAGATAGATAGATAGATAGATAGATAGATAGATAGATAGATAGATAGATAGATATCTTTCTGAATACACTTAACGACACATAATACGCACACACATACACACACATATATAGAGGGTGTGAGAGATGAACAAGTAAATATATAGAGTGACATAAATAGATAGATTAATTGGAACAAACTGCGTTAGACATATTTATAGAGAAGTGACCAAATAGATGTGACAAAGATAAAGTTGGACAAATGGATGAGCAGGCGATAGATAATGGGATAATGAAGTATCAGGGAGTAACTTATAGGCGCGGATTATACACAAAAAAGAGGCAAAATTCAATTGAATTTGCTTCCGTTCCATTTTAAGCGTATCTTCTGTCATTAACAGTATTTTCTATTAATTAAAATCTATGTGTTAACTTTATTAGATATTGAAACGCAACTATCTCAGCCACTAATAATTTAAAATTACATAATTCTCTCAGCCAGTTCATTAGCAAGATACTAATAATGATTAAAGCACGAATTAACAAGTTAGTTTTGCTTAACATTAACTAGAACTTGCTAAGCTATTTTGCTATAGTTCACTCAGTACATTGCCCAAGAGCCACTCAAGGTAGAAGGTTACTGACTTGGGTTGTTGTATGCACATAACAGCTAGAAGTAAGTGCAGATTATATGCATGTGTAGAGAATATAGCAGTTGACCCTAAACTTGAAAAGGTTAAGATTTTATTCACTGGAGAATCAACCTCACGGCAATCTTTTTCATAATTCGCTAGTTCTGGGGAAAAAGTTGCCTGATTGGAACTTCCTCCTTATCAATGGAATACGAACGGAGATGATTCAGTGTACGTAGCGTGGCGGCTGTTGGCTATGATGATCTGCTTGTTTTAATCCAGTACCTGTTTCAAGATAAAGCGTCAGATGTCAACTGTGGCCAGTGAGAGACTAAATGACAAATGGCAAAAGAAAGCTGAGGGAACGCGATTTATTTGAAAATGCTAACCCAGAGAGAGTAGACAGGAAAGGAATAGGATCACATCCATCCAGGACTGAGTTTGTAATTTTACTCTACTTTTCCTTTGACTCCGTTATTATTTTAACTACCTTCACTCCTCGGCAATGTTTATTGTTTTAAAAAGCAATTATTAGATTTGTATTAAAACTTAAATATATCATCTAAGTGAATATATACATTTTTTGTTCTTAAGAATTTAAAACCAAATATTAAACACTGTTTATTTATTTGATTGTTTATTTACAAGAATAATTTTATATTTACGACTTTCTAAAAACTAACACAGTTCTATCAAAACTAATACAATGCACTATTTATCATTTACCAATATATAAAGAAATAAATATGAAAACAATTTTTTATTCATAAATTTATAAACATTTACTAAATTATTAAAATATGTGAAGTACCTATAAGGAAATCCTTATTATTTACCATTTTATAAAGTTCGAATCGATTGGCAATTAGCCGATGTTTTGCCAACCATTCTAATAATTTTTGCCAACAATCTAATAAATAAATAGTGTTTATTATTTTTATTGTCAATTCTCAAGAACCAAGAAAGTGTATACACTTTCATGTGCTTATGTTTTATTAAAATTCTAATCATCGCGTTTTTAAACACTAAACATTGCCGAGGAGTGAAGGTAGTTAAAATAATACCGGTGTCAAAGGAAAAGCCATCCTTTTGACAGTTCGTTTTTTTTTTTTTTTTTTTTTTTGTATTGTTTTTTTGTTGTTTTGGGGTTTTTTTTACATGAAACAATGGTCCAAGATTTCTGAAAAATATTTTTTGCTTTATATTTCCAGTGAGAATATTAGACAAGTTCCAAACTCGACTTCTTTTTTTTCGTCGATGACCCTTTTTCTCTGCTGTGCTTGAAGTTAACTTTCAAAGCTTCAATTCCAACCACAGTGAAGACATCATTCAATTCGTAATAGTTATTTTCCAATATGGCGCAAACTGTTGGACAATTTCCTCACAGTGGCACACAGAGATGTGATTCTATAGAATTCTAATACCATGGACAGAACATGTGAGCAGTAAGGAAGTTTTTTTTTTAAATTAGCACGAAAAGGAGATGCCAGTGATGCAGAGTGAAGCAGCGAATAAGCTACCTAACGAGTTTATATAAATGGATGGCAACAAATGGCTGTGATTTGATAGTAAGGTGGAAAATGTTGATTTAGAGATAGAAAAGATAGGAAGCTGTGAAGAGTCATGTCCGGGTATATCTTGAAGGAAGATGGCATATAAATGGAACACCGTTCAATCCGGCCCACCCAGTAATATGATAACAGCTTCTGACCACAATAAGGAAATTTTCTTTTGATTTATTTTAAGGCTTTTAAGGTCAAATTGCTAAACATGTTACAAAGACAAACTCCTTAAACTCTACCCGTCCGCAGAAATCTTAAAGACGCACGGATGACACACATTTTCCGATAAATCATTCCAACGAACAGGTTTAATAAAAAGAGACGAGATTGCATACGAAAGCGTAATTTGGCGTCGACTATTTGCCATCTAATGTGACGCCAGATCAAGGACACTTCTCCCAGCTACAACCAAAAAAAAAAAATGATGGAACCATTACATTGCTCTTAATTTGGTTAACGCGCCTTGATCTCGATCAAAGCTGTCGGCTCGAATACGCCCGATGGATTTGTCAAGCGATGCAAGTAGTGCAAAAAAAAAAAAAATGGAGAAAATCTTTAACGAGATGTTAGAAGACGTCAAGAAGGAAGAGACTACAAAGTTGCGCATATAGTGAACTGACAATCAAATCTCACAAACGAAAAAATGTGGGTTATTTCCAAATCGATATTTTTAAACTGATAGAATATGAGGCCATATTCGATTAAATGTATCAAGTACTTCGTGCAATTATTTTTGTCTGTTCATATCTATCTATCTACCTATCTATCTATCAATCTATCTATCTATCTATCTATCTATCTATCTATCTATCTCAAGTCACTTCATGTGTTCTCTCAGACTGTTCGTATTTATATATCTATTTAACTATCTGTTCATATCTATTTATTTCAGTCTATTAGTATCTGTTTCAGTACTTTCATATCTATCTATCTCAGCCTGTTCATATCTGTCTATCTATCTCAGCATGTTCATATCTATTAATCTATCTCAGTCTGTTTATATCTATCTATCTATCTATCTATCTATCTATCTATATATATATATATATATATATATATATATCTCAGTCTGTTCATATCTATCTATTTATATTGGTCTATGCATTATTTATCAATCTATCTCAGTCTGTTCATTTCTATCTATCTATCTCTATCTCAATCTGTTCATATTTATCTATCTATCAATCTCAATCTGTTCATATTTATCTATCTAGATCTTAGTCTGTTCATCTATCTATCTATCTATCTATCTATCTATCTATCTTGTTCTATGCATTATCTATCTATGTCAATCTGTTGATATCTATCTATGTCAATCTGTTCACATCTATCTATCTATCTATCTATCTATCTATCTATCTATCTATCTATCTATCTATCTATTTCAGCCTCTCCATATCTTTGTAGCCCTGTTGCTACATGCTTCGCTGCATGTCACTATTACTTTTGTCATCCGGTACATAATGACCAATCTCACCTAAATTCACAATTTGACTTTTAAACGCAATAGTCTATAAATGATATCAACCTGAATATTCATCTATCTACCTGTGTCTCACTATTAATCTGTTAACATCTATTTAAGTCTGTACGGGTAAAAGTTTTTTCGCTTGATCTTATCTCTCTCTCTCTCTCTCTCTATATATATATATATATATATATATATATATATATATATATATAGTATACAGTGAGCATTGAAGTCAATACCCAGAGGTGACAGTCGGTTTCATGCTAAACGCAATCGTCAGGCCATGTGCAATTTTGCTTCTGCTCGACTATTTATATATGCAGGTCAGTGACGCATTATGGGTAGTCTATTGTGTTGCATTGTGGGTAATTCACATTTATATTTACATACGCTCTATCCCTGATATTGATTACTTTAACCCATAAATATGGCATACCTTAAAAACTATATTCTATCATATATATATGTGTGTGTGTGTCTGTGTCTGTGTCTCTGTGTGTGTGTGCGCGTGTGTGTGTGTGTGTGTGTGTGTGTGTGTGTGTGTGTGTGTGTGTGTGTGTGTGTGTGTGTGTGTGTGGAAATTTTTCGTGATTGTACTCAATAGGCCAGAAGAGGCACCGTGGGTTAAAGCTGATATATATTTTGAGAATATTTGTATCTACCGGATGGTGCACAAGTTGATAATATCGACTGGGTCACCGTAGAAAGCGGGTATGATGTTGAAAGACCAAAAACCCATAATGATCATTCCCTAAAGATGTCACTGACGATGTGTGCTAAACCATCTGAAATGTATTTCATGAAATATATATATATATATATATATATGTGTGTGTGTGTGTGTGTGTGTGTGTGTGTGTGTGTGTGTGTGTGTGTGTGTAGTCAACAAATTCTCTTTTAAGCATGTCTGATTAAATACATTACAAACATTATGTCGGATTGTTTTTAGTATAATCCTTTCATATTCGCGAATATTTTTCCGTATATTACAATCAAATGAGACAAGAAACGCACTGTAAATGTGAAAATCTATCTATCTCCCTTTGTCTCAATCCCTGCATATCTATCTATCTATATATCTATCTATCTGCATTTCTTGCAATATTTTGATTGCAATACACGGAAAAATATTCGTGAATATGAAAGAATTATCGTAAAAATAATGTTTGTAATTTATTTAATCAAACATGCCTAAAAGATATATATATATATATATATATATATATATATATATATATATATATTAACTGATTTGAAAATACCACATATATTTATAAAATACCAAATATACCATATATTTATAAAACCAACATTAATATATTTAAAAATGTATTAAAGTTAACTGATTTAAATATATATATATATATATATATATATATATATATATATATATATACAGTGGGGGAAATAAACATTCGTACACTTGAAAAATTGTATTTTTATAAATGTAAAAGACTTAAATAAAACAAATCTCGGCACATTTTATGTATAAAGACACATACTATTAAAAAATAATTAATTCTTATTCTAACAGAAATTAATGCATTTTTTTAATTATAACTGGTGAAAAAAGTATTCGTACAAATCAATTATTAGAATAAAATAATCAATTAATTATGAAAAAAGTATATTCTAGAATGTTCCAGTAATGTTATCAGTAATTATAGTTAACGCTATTAGCCATTATCAGAGTATTCTGCAATTTCTAGTCTTAATAATGCCTAAAGGTAAAGAATTGACTATTTCACAAAAACAACACATTTTGTCTCTTTGGAAAGATGGGAACAGTTACAGAACGATTTCTAACAACCTGAATATTCCTTTTACTACAATTGCTTCGTTCATTGCAAGGTTTAAAATTCGTAACAGCGTCGAAAACCAAAGATGAACAGGTGCTCCGATGAAGATTTCTCTAAGATCAGCAAGGATATTAGGACGCCAGATCCAACAAAATCCACAGGTTACCCGAGAAGAGCTGCAGGAACATCTGCGTGCATTAGGGATTAAAGTAACCAAGCGTGCAATAAGTAATGAACTACACAAAAATAGTCTGAAATCACGCATCCCAAGGAAGACTCCACTCCTCTTGAGACGACACGGTGATGCGAGGCTAAAATTCGTTAGAGAACATAAGAATAAAGAATATTCGTTTTGGGAAAAAGTACTATGGACAGATGAAACTAAAATAGAGTTGTTTGGTCATAATTACCGAAATCATGTGTGGAGGAAGGACGGTGAAGCCTACTTACACGTTGCCAACTGTAAAGTTTGGTGGTAGCAGTATCATGATCTGGGGCTGTTTTTCTGCAAAAGGTGTTGGCAGAATATCAATAATAGATGGCAAGATGAATGCCGAAAGATACCAGAAAATCCTGCAAGATAATTTAATGCGTTCTGTTGAGAGACTTCGGCTACCTCCTGATTGGGTTTTCCAACTGGATAATGATCCTAAGCATACCGCTAGATCTACAAGAAATGGTTAGCTGAAAGTAACGTTGATGTCTTGCAATGACCAAGTCAGTCCCCAAACTTGAACCCAATCGAGAATTTATGGCGATATTTGAAAATTCAAATTGGAAAAAGAGCACCAACAAGTATCAAGAATTTGAAGACAATATGCCAAAAAGAATGGGACAAAATACCACTCAATGTGTGCAAATCATTAGTTGAAACGTACAGGAATAGACTGGTAGCTGTTGAACTCAATAAAGGATATTCCACAAAGTATTAAATTAAGTTAATATGCATTTTTTGTTTTGTACGAATACTTTTTTCATCAGTTAAAATGAAAAGAATGCATTAATTTCTGTTAGAATAAGAATTAAGTTTATTACTATATTTTTACACATAAAATGTATCAAAATTTGTTTTAGTTAAGGCTTTTACATTTATAAAAATACAATTTTTTATGTGTACGAATAATTATTTTCCCCCACTTTATATATATATATATATATATATATATATATATAAGAATGAATGGATTTTTAATCCGACATTATTTCTCATTACTATAAACAGTTTGTACTAAATTTAAAAATTAAATGTGCCCATCAGCATAAAATTTGCTTCCCTTGATGTAAAAAAGAATCCCTGTTGAGAAGAACTTTTTAACAGGACTTCTTAATCTCTAGGCCGGTTTCATTGTTTAAATTAACAGGGATGTTTACTTGAATACGCCCACCCACTAAATATAATGTCTATAGAAATAAGAAATGCACACACTACACATATACATATTCAGTATTAGTCAAATTAATGACAAAGTGGAAAAATATATTTTGTGTGACGCATTTCGCATTTTAGGAGTTCATCTGAGTAAAGTTCTGTTTTATTGTGTCCCTGTTTATATAGTGATAACCGCTCTAAAAGCACATCGAGCTATCCAAACTATACTGCAGGAAAGGTTTTCACGAAAAAAAAAACAGATCGATTATTCTGTTTAAAGAAAGATCTGTCTACGCAAACACGTACATCTACTAAAATATATCGTTTATAATAATGATAAACACACATACACACACACATACATATATAATGGCTAATCACTCGTATCCGAGTATGTCTGTCTAATAGGACGGCTAGCCAATCTCTTTCGCAGACAAATGCGAAGGAAGATTGGTGTTTGCCCACTACACACAGAGCCCTGTGGTATGTTCAGGCACGCTGGCATCGCCTCCCCCAAAAGTCTGCTTTCTAACAAATCAACCCTGTTCTAACCAGCAAGTATATATATATATATATATATATATATATATATATATATATATATATATATATATCTACGTTTGTAGTACAACTTGCAACTTGAAAATTCATGGTTTCCCAAGTCGTCATCCACGTATGGTAAAGGGGCCGCTTATTACAGTTGTTATTTTTTTCTTTTTGTTTTTTGTTTTTTTTAAAAAACAACTTTAATAAGCGGCTCATTTACCATACGTGTCTGGCGGCTTGGGAAACCATGAAAGTTTAAGTTGCACTACAAACGTGGGTATATGTATATTTATTAATATATTCTTCATAGCTCTGTTTAACTACATTGAGCTCTGTCTTGTTTGCATCATAAATTAAATAAAATAAATATTTATTTATCTGTTTATGCACGCTATCGCACACATATACAGTTGCTAATATCTCGTTATTTAGTTTATATTCACACTCACACACACACACACACACACACACACATATATATATATATATATATATACAGGTTGTATCAAAATACATACATATATATATATATATATATATATATATATATATATATACAGGTTGTATCCAAAATGCATATATATATATATATATATATATATATGCATTTTGATACAACCTATATATATATATATATATACAGGTTGTATCAAAATGCATATATATATATATATATATATATATATATATATATATATATATATATATATATATATATATATAGTGGGTATCAAAAAATACTTTTACAAACTTTGGGGGCGAGTTCCTCACACCAAAAATTTATATAGACATATATCCGCAAATCCTTCGTTTTTGACTTATTAAGATTATAAGAAGTTTACTGTAGATGGCACTGTGTTTCTATGAAGATTAGGTTACATTTGTCATTCGTGTGCATTTGTGGGTAGTGTGTCTTCAATGTTTAACTGAGGTAACTGTAGAGTTAACTGAAAAATGTTCTGTTTAACAATGGCAGGATATTCCTATCGTGAGCAGGGAGATATAATTTTTACAAACGGTCGCGCAATGATAATGGACACGAGGCTGCATTGCTGTATCAGATTACGTTTCCAGAGCGAAGGCAGCCGAGTCATACAACCTCTTCTGCTCTCTATCGTCGCATTGGTGAGACAGAATCTGCATCCGTATCATTTGCAATGTGTGCAGGGTCTTTCGCCCCCTGATCACTCAGCAAGGGAGAACACTTGCAGATGGTTTATTGCACAAACTGCCAATCCGATGTTTTTCTCTTCATTCTTGTTTACGGATGAGGCAACATTTGGAAGAGATGGAATA